TGATAATATCATGCTTGCTCAAGAATTGGTGAGAGGTTATGCAAGAAAACAGGTTTCACCCAGGTGTATGATGCAACTAGATATTCAAAAGGCTTATGATACTGTGAAATGGCAGGCTTTGACCCACATTATGCATGATATTGGTATCCCTCATGTGTTCGTTTACTGGGTTATGACTTGTGTGTCAACTGTATCTTACAGGTTCTCAATCAATGGTACTCCATCTAGAATTTTAAAGGCAAAGAGAGGGTTGGGGTAGGGAGATCCCATCTCCCCCCTTTTATTTGTGATCATTATGGAATATTTGCACAGGATCCTCCAAAGCTTACAATATAATCCTAATTTTAATTTTCACCCCAAGTGTGAAAAGTTAAAGATCATTAACTTGCTCTTTGCAGATGATATACTGTTATTTACTAGGGGAGACATTGGCTCATTGAAGTTGATCATGGAGAAAATACAAGACTTCTCAGATGTTATTGCCTTATACATTAGCAATCCTAAAAGCAAGTTGTATATAGGAGGCGTGGATGAGGATACTAGAAGTTTTTTACATCAGGAAACAGGTTTGGCTGCTGGTATGATGCATTTTAGATATTTAGGGGTGCCTTTGAATATCAAAAAACTCTCTGTTCATAATTGCCAACCCCTAAATTAAAAAGATGATGCAGAGAGTGAATCATTGGAGTACAAGGCTCTTATCCTATGCTGGTATATTTCAATTAGTTAGAAGTGTTATGTTCTCTATTTCTAACTATTGGATGCAGATTTTTCCTCTATCTAAGAAAGTTATAGCTCACGTGGAAGGCCTTTGTAGAAGGTTTATGTGGACTGGAAATGATAATGGTTGTAGGAAGGCACCAATTTCCTGGAACCATGTCTGCGATCCAATTTCTGTTGGAGGAAGAAATATGATATCGCTTGTTGAGTGGAATAGAGCGACACTTGGTAAAATGCTTTGGAACATTTGGAATAAGGATATATTATAGATCAAATGGCTGCAACCATGTTAGATGAAAATTGTAGATGTAAGGGAATACCAGCTTGCCCAGAATTGCTCATGGATTGTAAAAGCTATTTTCAAGAACAAAGACATGATGATTAACTCTGAACCGTGGCAGAAACTTCAGGTGGATGGAAGATACACTACTAGCATTATGTATAGATCCTTGAGAGGGGATAAACCTAAGGTGGATTGGAGAATCATTTTCTATGAAAATCTTGCTAGGCCTGGAGCAATATTCATCTTATGGATGGCTTGCCAAAATCGGCTTATGACCAAGGATAGGGTGCGTAATCATGGAATGGATACTGATGGATTGTGTGTGTTCTGTCATTTGCAGAAAAGTTGTCAGCATATTTTATTCGAATGTGCTTATACTAAGCAGGTTTGGAAGCATGTCCTGGAAGACTTTGGAGTAGACCATATTCCTGATGGTTGGAATGCTGAGTTAACTTACCATAGCTCCTCCATACAACCCGTGGAAAAGGAAGTCAGGCAAAAATTGTTAAAATAACTATAGCAGAACCAGTTTACCATGTGTGGAATATTAGAAATAAGATTGTTTTTCAAAATTGTAATAGAGAAGAGTTGAATAGTAGACACATTAGAGAAGTCATCATTGTGAGTATTGAGGGGAACGGGAAGCTGTAGATTATTGTAATAGGGCTTAAAGTTTGTTCATATTGTCTTCTTGTTTCTAAGTCGACTTGTGGCCTGGATCGTTTAAGATCAACGTGTATTGTCTTGTTTTTTTTGCAATAACATTTCTCCTTGTTCCAAAAAAAAAAAGAGTTTCAAGTAATTTACATGTATTTCATTGATCATTGCTTGAGATTACTTAATTTAGTTTGTCGAAATATGTACATTGTGTCCGGATTTTGAAATTTAAATTCGGTTACATTGTGTTTGAAAATTGAGATATGAATTATTTTGATATTGAATTTGAATTATCTTATCTTATAATTGATTGTAAATATGTTGAACTCTTATCTTTTCTTTCAAGATATTATATATTTGGATGTTAAACCGGGTGATATTCATGTAAATGTTGGAGAACAATTAGCAAATAGACATAAATTTACTATACATGAACATATGTTATCAAAATAGGATTCGAAATTATAATCAAAAGGATGGATTCTAGCTCTGCTAAAAGATAGGCATGTGTAATGATGAGATGAAAAAGAAAAAAAATCATATATATATATATATATATATATATATATATATATATATATATATATATATATATATATATATATATATATATATATATATATATATATATATATATATATATATATATATATATATATATATATATATATATATATATATATATATATATATATATATATATATATATATATATATATATATATATATATATATATATATATATATATATATATATATATATATATATATATATATATATATATATATATATATATATATATATATATATATATATATATATATATATATATATATATATATATATATATATATATATATATATATATATATATATATATATATATATATATATATATATATATATATATATATATATATATATATATATATATATATATATATATATATATATATATATATATATATATATATATATATATATATATATATATATATATATATATATATATATATATATATATATATATATATATATATATATATATATATATATATATATATATATATATATATATATATATATATATATATATATATATATATATATATATATATATATATATATATATATATATATATATATATATATATATATATATATATATATATATATATATATATATATATATATATATATATATATATATATATATATATATATATATATATATATATATATATATATATATATATATATATATATATATATATATATATATATATATATATATATATATATATATATATATATATATATATATATATATATATATATATATATATATATATATATATATATATATATATATATATATATATATATATATATATATATATATATATATATATATATATATATATATATATATATATATATATATATATATATATATATATATATATATATATATATATATATATATATATATATATATATATATATATATATATATAAACAACCTATTTAAAAGTTGAAACAACCTGAACGAAAAGATGTGTCTTTTTAAATTGTGCGAGTAACTCAATGCAAATAATAATGTGTTTGTGGTTTACATTTATAGGACTACAAGTTTAAAGTAAATAAAAAAAATCAGAAAGTTAACTTTTTTTTGGCTGTTATTGGATATTTTACTGTTGTCATCGCTGAGCTTTTTATTGCTATTATTGTGAGCTTTTATTGGTGTTGTTGATATGACCGATTTTTATTGCTTCTGTTGCTAAACATACTGTTAACTTTTCATTGATGTTGCTGCTGAACTTTTTGTAAGTTTTTTTTTAATTGAAAACAAATATTATTTTATACATAATTCTAGCAAACTTAACACAAAGTTTTTCAATTTGATTTTGAAAGTAAAAATAAGAGTTGGATGATGAATCCAATCCATTAAATATTGTACTAGTTGTGTAACGAGTTAGGAGAAACTCGTTCCAAATTAACATGTTACACTTGACTTTTACGTGTTCACTTAAGATTTAGATCTTATGCCAAACATTTTAAGCTAGATTGAGGGTTTTGTTGTCTTAGTGGAAAGTCTTTCTCTACTTTCAGCTCACTCCGTCTACATCACCTGCCACTGCCGCAAATCAGGATCATCTTCCTCGTCCTTCCTGCTACATCAAAGAGACACAATTGAAACACAGTTTACTTTTAATATGCTTTCATTCAGGAAATTCTGAGGAACAACTGCAATATCCATTCTAAACCAAATGGCGGCGGTAAACCAGTTATAAAGTCTATAGCAATATCCTCCCAAGCTTGTTGGGGTATTGGCAATAGATGGAGTAGTCTTGCTGGTAAGGAATTGGTGTGCTTGGCTTGTTGGCAAATAGAACAGGACTCAACAAATTATTTAATATCAATGTGCATCTTAGGCCAGAAAAATTGTGATCGAATCTTAGCAAGTGTTCGGACAAAGCCAGCATGGCCAACAATACGGGAAGTATGCAATTCATGGAGTACCTTTGCAATCAGATGGCTACTAGCATGTAGGACAAGTCATCCTTTCCAATACAACAACCCTCTCTTAACTAAGTAATTAGGATCAGGATTCCGGATCTGTTTGCAAATATTGACCAGGATTCCCTAGAATAAGCTGACTGTTTCTGTTTTCTAGGAGATAATTTCTGAGAAAAGAACGCTATTGGGTATCCGTGTCCCCCTTTGCCTAAGTACTGCACCCACGCAAATTCTTGAAGCATCAAGAATGAACGGTTGTGAGGTAATGAGTTTGTTAAACCACACACCTTATTAGTTAAAGATGTAAATTCCATATAATACTCAGAAACATATCCAAACTTTACCAATTTAAACAAAGTTGCTTTAGAAGGACCAAAATCTACCTCAAGAGCTCTTCTGAAAGCTTGTCAAGTATGGAATAAAGTTGTTCTCTGCATCATCATCTGAAACCATGGAACTACCTCTTGATCCAAATGAATTGAGGCAACGGTGAGCGATCAACAACAGGAGTTTCATAGTACTAGAAAAATTGCTTGGCCTTGAAGATATCCATTCTCACACATTTTCCATCAATTGGGGAAATTTCAACTTAAAATTGCGCACCTGGAAAGGAGTTCTATTACTGTTATTTGAGTTCAAAACACCGCGGGAAGAACCTGTAGAATTGTTGGATCGTGAAGTAAGAGACTCATGGGCTGCTTCAATCCATTCTGGCCTTGAGTTAAGAGCTGCTTCAAAGATGCTAGCACGAATTGCATACTCCTCATCTCTCTTTGTCATTTTCTTAAAATGTTGGTTGATTTGAGCTTGCATCTCTTTTCATACGTGTATTTTTTGCCATGATGTATATGAAAGCGCCAATGAAATGCTGGCACAAAGCAAGATAACAAAAAGTACAATTAATGTGTGAGGAATCTTCTCTTTATTTGATTAAGAACAAATAAACTAAACTAAAAAAAAAAGTGTTTTTAAGATCCGTTAAACTGAAACAAGGATAACAAATACACACTAAAAAAGAAAACATCAAAGCAATAGAAGACAAATTAAATGCTTGTACTGAAAATTGTGAGAGACATAGCAATCAAAGATAAATTACTAGTCGTTGAACTGGAACTCGTGAGAGAGTGAACATAAGGCTAGACAAGTAAAGTAACATGGATTTGATGGAGAGTAACTCATTTCCTATTTCTCAAAGAAACCCAATATATATTGGTTTTAATTTTTCATTAAAAGAGATGACTAATTTCAATGAGTGAATGTCTGAATGTTTTCCAAGGAGGGAGATAAATTAAACGTAAATTATTTTAGCTATGAAAGCAGCTAAGTTTTTAGGAGGAAAAGTTTAAAAGTACTCTTAAGATATCTTCAAAGAATCACGCGATCACTAAATCAAAACCATCCATGTAAACAATCTTTGTACTCCATTTTATATATGATGGTTCACAAAAGAGATGAGCTTAGACTAACTTGTAAATAATAAATAAATATAAGTAAGCTTGTGGTTGGCATTTGTTAAAATTGTTTTCACTTTTAAGTATCATATTTTTACATGCTGACAAAAAGTGGATCTCAAGACAAAATATATGTATTGTTACTGGTGTATCCCATCAATGATCGGTAGTAATTATCTCTAAATTGGTCTGTTTCAGTTATCAATGTGTTCATTTTGAATATCCGAGCCCGACCATGTCTACCCATAAACAACCGGAAATGCTAACCTGACAACCCGACCAGACCCAACCGTTTGTCCATTTTTGTATTCGGTTTTATCGGTTTCTTGTCCACCCCTAGCTGCACCTCCTTTCCTTAGTTCCCGAATAAACAACAAACTCATTTGCCAGCTTTCTAGTCCCATATGCCTCATCTGAGTCAGCATCACCACCTGTGTAAGTGTTCATTACATAAAGACAGAGCAAAGACATGTAAAAAAAATTAGCACCCCGGACACGGTACATTCTCACATTAAACAGAAGGCATAATGACACTGAAGCCTGTGAGTTTATACTCATTTGATTGATGCCAAAAACCGTTGCCTCTTTAAATCAAACGATATTTGAATGCTTTAAGGACCTGTGATACATACATAATCTCCCTTTGCATGTGCTCGTCATTTCATAAAACAGCATAAATTTAGCACAATCCAAAGTTCATATAATTAGAACAACATAAAAGATAAAAGATACAAGGGTGGAGAAAATGTGGAGTTGATACCAATAAGTATCCAAGTAGAAACTAAAGACTGACGCGAAATATGTAGCCTATTTGATAACCAAGTGTCACATATATCCTACCAATGGCTTATTTTGGATTAAATTTCCACACTCTCCATGATTCCAGAATCTTCCACCAATTAAGATTCATGAAAAAACAACACAACAATACACATAAAGCATAAAGCCAACAAAGAGCTAATAATAATGCAGTTCTACTAATAATGCCTGTTAGGCATGAAAAGTAGTCTGTTCCCAATTGTAAAACCACAATATATAAAACAAATAAATAATTTCAGGAGCTTTCAGCTGTTTAAGTAGGCTCCAAAAATTGCATGCAATTCAAAATTGGACTTTGGAGCCACTTCATATGAACATTAAAAAGGGTTCATGTATAGTATCTATTTAGTGCATGAGGATTATTTGAAATCGTAATCGTAACAGTCAATTCCAACTGCAAAATTTTTAACTTTCTGAAAATGAAACTACCTACTTGTATTCACACTTGGTTTATTTCTCCTGATCAGGCGTTTTCTATTGATGAGAGCTAGCTGCAGAGATAGTACTTATCATGTTCACAGCCAAAACACTAATTAGCAAAACTCTCCAAATGTGTTGTTTTTGCTACCTTCACAAAATCACAAGGATCAATTCTTCTCATAACCCTCCAAGAATTGAATCGCCCAATCTCCTTCTCTTTTACCTTCATCTACTTTACAGACGACAGCATTGTTCTCTTTAAATTCATCAGAAGCTAATAACTGTTTGGTTTTCCTTCGCCCTAATAACACAAGCTCCAACATATTCCTTCGAACTGTGTACACCGGATTAGGCTCAACCAACCCTCCTTTCACATAAGCCTCCCTAAGAAAAACAGTTTGAGCATTTCCCTTTGTTGATATGTAAAATATCCCCGGATGCCTAAGCAGTACCTCACGCATATTAACTTCAATAGCAAAATCCTTTCGAAAATGAGCCAATAGATCAACTTCAACCATTTTCTCCACAGTCAAGCTCAACAGCTCATGAAGAACAGCAACGGCCCTCTTCTCATAGCGTTGATCTCCACCGCATTTTACATCTTTTCTCTCATAAGGCTTTGTATAAGAAAGCCTTTGCCAAGTCTTCAACTTTTCCCTAAACCCTCTTTCAATCTTAAACCCAGTTGGAAAATTTATAGGAAAAGCAAACTTGGTCTCAAATTCACTCAACCATTTCTCTCTATACTCTCTCTCCCTCCATTCCTCAACATGAGCCATGCCCAATTCATCATCCCAACCAACCAATGCTACAATCTCCAAATCAACCAACCTAAATTCATCACTATATTTCCCAAGAATAGAGTCTCTGAAATCACAAGGAAGACCCAATTCTCTTCTGATCAACCTCAAAGCATGCACATGAAGAGTCCCATTCAATGACATCATAAGCAACTTCTTCACCCTCATCACAATCTCAAGCTCGCACCTTTTCGCAACAACCTCTTCCAACAATATCAACTCCTTCATCTTCCTCGTGATCTTACAACACATGTTCCTCCTAAAAGGATGAAGAAACAAATCAAAAACATGAGGGTATTTTTGAAGAAAGGAAGTGACAGTGACATTGAGTCCGAGGGTGTTTCTCCAGCGGGACATGAGCTGAAGCGAAACGAAAGAACCGCGTTTTCGATTTGACATGAGAGTGTGGATTTTGAGGACAAGGTTGAGTTTTTTGAAATGGGTTGTTAATTTGTCGAAGTGTGGGTCTCTTACTCGGTCCTCCAAACGGGTTTGCGCTGAAATAACGGGTTTTTTCCATCGTTTTTGGTTGAAGAGGAAAAAGGGTGAGAATGAAGTTGTGGTTGATTGGAAGATTCTGAATCTGAAGGTCGATAATGGATTCATTTCATTGTTGGGTTGGAAGAGATGAAAGCTGAAAACGCCGGATATCTTTTGACGTGGTGAAAGATGGTGTTGTTGGAACAAATGTAACCCATGGAGGAATTTCGAGGTGATGGTGCGGTTAACGAAAATCGACGGTGGCGGAGCGCGGCCACTGATGAAGCTCCGGCGGTGGTGTTGAGCCTTGAGGTCAAGAAAGAAGCGACGGCGTGGTTGCAAAGAAGGAATGCTAGTTTAAAATTGAACCGTTAGATTTTTTATTTGCCACGTATCACACATCGTAGAAGTAAACTGGAAAGCGGAGTATAAAGGAATTGGAGCATGTCTTTAACTCATTTTACCATCGTATTCCATGTTTTTTAAGCCAAATTTTTACTTATGTCCTTTAATTTCAGAGATATATTTTTTTGATGTATTTTTTTTTACATTCAAGAAAGCGTCATCTATTTCGGTGATGTAAGTGGTATGAGGCATTTCAGTTGTAAGTATATTTGAATAAAATGATTTGATTTTGAAAGACATTCCATACATATGATGCGATCATTTGTATCTCTTTTGTATCGTTTCCCATTCGGTCAAAATAAAGATACTCGATTTACTTTCATGCATACATCCATTATCATCAAAACTAAGTTTCTTCCAATGAGAGAAAACCCCGTCCATACTTATCAGTTCATCGAGTTTCACCTTTTTTGCAATAAGACAAATACATAAGAGACCATACGTTTTCACAATAGTGCAACCACACTTGCGTTATCGGAGCCTACGTTATTAATACAGTAGTTATATTATCGGAGCCGACTTCTCACATTCCTTGCTATGTGATACTTACACAGTAATGCATAAGAAGAAGAAAATACCTTTGCAACTACATTCATCAATGTGGTATCGCGCTCAGTAATAATAGCTTTAGGCATCTCACCTTGATCCTTCAAAAGTGACTGACACACCTTTAATGCCTAACTAAAATTGTCCTTTTTTTCACACTCTAAAAATGCAAAACCAATGGAATATGTCTTCGTAGTTGAGGTAACACCAACCATCTCAAATAAAGGAAGTTTATACTTGTTGGTCTTGTAGGTAGAATCAAGTATGAGCACTGTCAGAAACATGTTGAACAACTCTATCGAATCTGGATGAGTCCAAAAAATATCTCTAACTGTAACTCCATCATTGCAAGTTTGGTACCGGGACACGTAATTGTTATCATCCAACAGTTTCAACAGTTGTTGCATCTCAATCCTATCCCCCCTAATCGCCTTGTTAGTGAGGTGTCAAATGTTATACACTTGCTTGATATTTGATATATTATTAGTTTGCTTGCTTTTCAATGCTGCAAGTATATTTTTTGGTTGGACAAGATTTAAGGTCATGTCACTAATACATTCCTTCTCTTCTGGCTTGAGCCGAAATACAATAGGATGACCGGCTAATTTTGAGCATAATTCATGGTTATCCAAACCACAAATGACATTAAATCTTCATTTATTGTTAGCCAACATGTAACTACAAAGCTTAAACGAACACTCACATTTTCTACTATCTGTGTCGTCTTTCTTTAAATTTCGGACAAGAGTTCGATAGCTCTCGTTTCTTTCGCACAACAAAGTCACAAAAGTGTTTCTTCTATCTGAGCCATTATCCAACCTTCCTATAAATACAACAAATCCAAGTTGAGATGTCTCCATATGAATTCATTCGAGCATGTTATCACGATTTTCAAACTCTTTCTTGTTGTTAAAGTTGTTGCCAGCATATATTGCCTTCACAACAACCCCTTCAACATTTGCTTTAACATTGTTCGGAGAAAGTACTTGTTTTGCGAAATTATCGGGGTGCACCATATCTATTGGAAATAATAAAAATAATAATAAAACATTAATTATTTTTCTACAAAAAAGGGATGGAACTTGAACACAAAAACACTTCGGAGACCTATCTCCGAAAAAGTTCATGTTCAACACATTCCAGAGATACATCTTCGGACACTGCGTATGTTTTTTCAGCAAACTTTCACGATTAATGTGAGTAATATAGATGAAAATGAATATTTTTCTACCTTAAATTTTTTTTTTTTGCTCTATGTGATGTGTTGAACCAAAAGGACGGAGATTTGGAGTGAAAAATTAGATTAATAATGTATGGTTTTTAGGGTGAAAGTTTGAGTTGAAATGAAGAATGACAACAACGGTGGACTGATCGTGCAGTTTAAAACTGTATCAAATATTTCGTGAGATACATCTTTAGAATAATCCGACATGCAAAAGTGATAGGAAAATTCAAATTGTCGTCCACATATTCCGGAAATATATCTTTGGAACATTCACTGAACTAATTAATTTTCATGTTTTTTCCAAATCGTTCCGAAGATATATCTTTAGAATAAAACTTTACCAAATGCATGGGGTGCCATTAAGAATAGTCTTCCTTGAGTGTAAAAAAAAGTGTGTCCAGAGATATGTCTTCGAAAGCGGAGGACATAAGTGAAATCCATACGGTAGAAAAGAAATGCATGAGGTGCAATAAGAAATTCCCAAACAAATTTATATGAAATCATGTATGAACTAAATGGATTGATATTTTTTGTTTATTTTTTCTTTAAACTTTATGATGCTTCATGGATTTTTATTTATTTATTTACATATGCAAAGATTGTTTTAATATTCTTGAATCATGTTATAATTTGTCGTCGTTCATATAATGTTAGTCATTAAATTTGTTTAAAATATAGTAGTAGTATAATTGAGTGTCATTAATACTGACAACATATGAATAATTAGTTAATAAACAAGTTAATGGTTGAGCGATCATATTTGAAAATGAACTCCTCTCTCTCTCTCTCTCTCTCTCTCTCTCTCTCTCTCTCTCTCTCTCTCTCTCTCTCTCTCTCTCTCTCTCTCTATCTATATATATATATATATATATATATATATATATATATATATATATATATATATATATATATATATATATATATATATATATATATATATATATATATATATATATATATATATATATATATATAGTTGAACTCAATCAATTGTTATTTTTATAAAGTTGATTAACATGATTGTAACAAACAAAATATCGAGATATGCAGTGATATGAATCTAATTTAAATGTGTTATATTATGTCTAGAATGGTGTGAGCACATCAATTCTTACATAACATTTATTTACAATCAGATTGTTAAAGTGTAATCCAAATTTAGTTTTATTTGTTTTTAATTTGGTTTGTATTTGAATTACATCTAGTTTGAGCTTGTGTATATAAGTTAAACTTAGTTTGCTTAGAAGTAGAATCCATTGTAGTCGTTCTTTTAGTTAGATAGTAAAAAGTTAGTTACAACATTTTCTTTTTCTTCCATCTTCAACCTTGTGCTCCAACAATTGGTATCTAGATATCTAGTTCTAATTCAGGAATGAAAAATATGAATGTACGTGAGGTGTGTGTGATTGATTATGCTCATTCAATTTACAGTGAATTGAAGATTTGAATCAAAACATAATCATTTTTCTTGATTTTGAGGGATTAGGAAACACGAGTGTTTGTGAGATCTGATTGAATTTGCACAAGAACGAAGATGAATGGCGGAAACAGTAGCTTAAACACAAAGCTTATAGTATTTGATGGAAAGGATTAAAATCAATGGATAATTCAGATGCGTGTGTTGTTTGGCACTCAAGATATTTTTGATCTCGTCAATGACTGTTACACGACGGTTGCAGCAAATGCTACTGAAGTACGGAGAAACGTGCATAGAGAACCAAGGAAAAAGGATCAAAAGGCGTTGTTCTATATCCATTAGTGTGTGGATATAAATGTGTTTAAGAATATCATTGATTCAACAACAGCGAAGGTTGTACAGGACACACTGATATAATGTTACACCAGTGATGCATGGGTAAAGAAGGTGAAGCTTCAATCTCTACGTAAGCAGTATGAGAATCTCAACATGAAGAATAGTGAGAAGGTGGTTGATTACATCTCCAGAGAGATTCTGATCACAAATGAGATGAAATCTTGTAGAAAAACTCTTTCTGAACAAGTAATCAATGAAAAGATACTGAGATAATTTACTCCTCGATTTGATTATATTGTTGTAGCAATTTAACACTTTAAGGACCTAAGCACCATAAGAATTGAAGAGCTGCATATTGGTCTAGATGCACAAGAGTTGCGTCTGACTGAGGGAAGCTTTGAATGATAGGTAGAGTAGGCTCTGAAAGCGTATTTTGGTAAAAATAATCAGAAGCAATCTTGGTCAGAGGCCAATAAAATACGTGGTGATGGCTATCAAAAGTCATAAACCTCCAACCCTGATGTGAAGAAACATCAGAAGGGAAAGGAGAAGTTTGACAAGAAAAGAAGTTCAATGTTATTGTTGTAAGAAGTTTGGCCACTTTGTTGTTGGATATTGGTCAAACAAGGAAAGAAAATTAGAAGAAGAAAATATAGCCATTGGAGAGTCTGATAACAAACATGTGTTACTGATGACTTATGAGTCTGACGATGGATATTTGGTATATTGGTGGTATATGGACATTGGCTGCTCAAATCTCCTAATTGGAAACAAACAATAGTTGATTGATTTTGACTCTAGAAAGAGGACAAATATCAGATGTGATGATGATAAGTACCTTAATGTTGAAGGAATGGGGAATGTCAAAGTCATAGTTAAGAATAACAAAATTGTTCTGATCAAGGATGTTTGGTATGTTTCTGGCATGAAGAGCAATTTGGTTAGTGTAGACCAGCTAACTAAAAAAGGTTTCTCAGTTACTATGAAGGAAAATCTCTTGAAGTTGTATGATTCTGATCAGAAGTTAATTATGCAATATTAATAGGGAAGCAACAAAACCTTCAAAGTGAATATGGAAACAACTGAAACCAAATTCCTTAATGCATAAGGTGTTGAAGGTGACAGTGAGACATGGCACAAGAGATTGGTGCATCTGAGTTCTAAGAAGCTGGTACATGACATTCCTAAGATTATGAA